AGGGGGGGTAGGAACCGTCGTTTTTACAAACGGAGCACCGTAGGTACCCCAAACGAACTGGTGTATGCAAATGACACCCAGTAACACTGGTGTCATTTTAGACTTACCGATATATATATGTGTGTGTGTGTGTGTGTGTGGGGGGTTTCTAGAGAAAGGGGGGAGATTTCACCGGCGGCACACCGTTGACCGTGCCGAACTTTTCAGAGACATTGGGTTCCAGAAAACGCTCCAATGGAACTGGATTTTCTAAGCGAGAGGATCTCAAACGCCGGGGTGGAGAGATGATTCAAGGAATTTCAGAGCAAGATGGCGATCCAGAAATGGGTTTGGGGAGAGATCATATTGTTACCAAGGGCCTTTCAAAGTGGATTCCGACGTCTCAATTTCAGTTGAAAGCAAGGTATTCACATTCCAGGTCTCACACAATCTTACAATTTCCGAATCTAAGAATGTTATGTCTAGATCTTTCTCTTTATCGCGCTCTTTTGGTTTATGGCTTTCTGAATCCCTAAGCCACCCACCTTTGGCTAGAGAGGGATGGGTGATTACAAAATTTGAAGGGGGAGTAACTGCAAAGTCCCACTGGGATTCAAACCAATTTGGAAGTTTCGTTCGAATAAGTGCAGGATCCGAAAGGGAGCTGTTTTATATTTGTATCCCAGTAGGCAGGAAATCAGATGGAATTAGGCTGTTTATAAAAGCTTTGAATGAAGCTTTAAAATCTCAAGTGGGGACTGTATCCGCAGAAAAGGAAATATACTCTCTCTGGAGAGCCGAAGCTTCAATCTCACAAGATTTGACAGACCAGATGCTTTGGGTGGAGAGGGTAGAGGAAGGACACTTGAGGTTCACTTCCATATCCTCAAATCTTCTGGGTCAAGATGTTACACAGGTTTCACGAATGGCTAGCCTCACAGAACATGGGTTAAATGCTAGGCCAGAAGAGATTAAGGAAGCTGAAGAAGAAGAAAAGAAGATCTAATTGTTATTTCAACCAGCCTTCGAGGCCTACTTCGAAACATTTTTCAGGGCAGTGGAAAGATAGGTTCAAGAGGCTTTGGCGAGGACATCACTACTGTATAAACTGAAAATGGGACTCTTCCAAAACATGATGGGTAAGACAATAAGAGCAACACGGGAGACGGTGAAAAGCATGGAAAAAGTGACCCTAGTTCAATTTGAAGATTCTAAATACCCAGCTTTCATTTCTTGTCCCAAAGCTGATGAAAGGCTTGTGGCGGATTTTCTTACAGGGGAATAGGCCGAAGAGTCACAAGATTAAATTGGTTACAGTTTAGTCTTTTTTCTTTTAATGTTTTCCTGGAAAACATAACGAGTAATTTGGTATTCTTTCTAGCTTCTAGTTTCATTTGATGTTTGCTGTCCTTAGTAGCTCAAGGGAGGGCCAAATGAAGATGGTTTAACTTTGCTTCATTCCAGGGGTTTAGAGAAAAGGGTTCTCAATGTTTTATTGGAAACTAGGCATTTTGCTTTAGAATACTCATAAGGATTATTTTTTAGACAGGCTTCTCATATTTGGAGCAGCATATTCATCATCCTACTAGCAGGGTCATACATAGACAGCCTTTCCTTGTTTATCTGTAATGGATGGAATTTGGACGTTACTCTTGGCTGTGATCTTTGGGTAGATAAACTAGGGTGGTTTCCCTAAGAGGGAAATTTTTTTGAATATAATTCCCAGGTGGGAAAGGTTAATTCCTGATAAGGAAAATCGGCTTTTGACATTCCGATTTTATTTTTTTTTTGGTTTTCAGCTTTCATCACTACTACAAAAAGGACCAAATAAATCCTACATTTGGATCGGTTAGCAAAATAAACGATTTAAAAGGAAAAAAAAATCGCGTATCGCTACACATTTGAATCGGTTATTCTTAATAACCGATTCAAAAGAGTATTTGCATCGGTTATTAGGAATAACCGATTCAAATGTTAAAGACCTTTTGCATCGGTTATTCCTAATAACCGATGCAAATACTCTTTTGAATCGATTATTAGGAATAACCGATTCAAAAGGGTGTGTTATATTCACCCTCCAATATCTTATCCTTATGGGATTTTGAAAGAAAAAAAAACCTCAAAACCCTCCTCCTTCGTCGCGCTGTGCTCCTTCGCCGCTGTGGTCCTTCGCCGTTGTAGCCTTCGCTGCCGTTGGTCCTTCGCCGTTGCATGTCCTCGCCGTCGCTCAACTGCTGCCGTCGCCCTCGCCCTCTTCTCGCCGTTGCCAACTGCCGCTGTCGCCCTCTCCTTGTCGTCGCCGTCGTCGTCGCCAACTGTCGTCGGCCCAATCTTTCAACGCAAGCGGGTATTGTTTCGCGCACATGCGGTATGCCCCGCAATTATGAATTAGTTACCGCAGTGGATCTCTCTCTGCGGATTAGGGTTCTCGGAATTTTTGGATCTGGAGAGTTGACTTGCTCTTTGCTGTATTTTTTTTGTGTTGCCCAGTTGATGAATTAGGGTTCATCTGCTGGGTTAGAATGCAGACTCGGTACATGGAAAGGACTAACTCAATGAGAGGGAAGAGAAGTCTGGAAGGCGACGAGGAGAAGCAGCCTGAGCGCAAGCGACCTGCTTTAGCGAGGTGAAAACCATTGTTTTGTTTAATTATTTAACTGTGTTCCTTTGATTTTTCTTTGGCCATTGATTTCTGTTATTTTCTATAAAGTTCCTTTACTAGAATTTTTTTAAAAATGATTACTTTAACTCTTTGGCTGAGAAGTGGAATTAAAACCAGTGTATATTATTGCAAAACATGTGTGTCAGTATGTATCAAGTTCATCCCAACTTGGCAACTTCATTAATAACATGTCAGTGTGTACTAAGTTGAGCATCTTTCATAGGAAAGTTGTAGTTCTGTTGATCAGAAGAGCAAGATTGGTTTCTGTTTTTTGTTGATGCTCCCGGATTGAGTTGATGCTCCTGGAGTACCCCAACAAGTAGGGAACATTGAGTGTGGTTATTATACCATGCGATTTTTATGGCTCATCGTCACTATGTGTGCACAATGTTCTTTACCGTTATCCGATGCAAGTTTATTTTAGTGTGTTTTTGAAAGTAATGAAGTGTATATCGTCATTTTTTTCATAGTTTATTAAACTTTATGTTGTATGTTGTTTTCGTATTGCAGGTATTTCAGTCTACTTCGCCTTATACTAGAGCCGAATTAGAAGAGGTTAGAGAGTTTTGGGCGGGGGGTTTTCTCGATGAACTAGTGTAAGTTTGTGTTGTATTTATAGTATTAAATGTATGTTAGTAGAGTGTAGTTGTTTGACTCTTAGTTGTGTTGTTAAAACTTAGAAGAGTAGTTGTTTTACTCTTGGTATTTTTAAGATGTACAAGTGGTGGATGCAAATGTTTACTTTTTTTTGTTTAATTTGTTTTGTGGCATTTGGATTTTGTGAATGTATTTGTATTTGTTATTGGTTTGTGTTAGTTGTTGTTGTGTTGATGGGTTGAATTGTTGTTGTTGTTGAATCTGTATATTTTGCACAGAATTCTGTGCAAAATTGAAAATGTAGTGGATCGGGAGCAAACAAAAAATTCATTTTGAAAAAATTAATTTTTTGCATGGGTTATCTGGTAATAACCGATTCAAAAGCCTATTCTCAGAAATGGGAAAAGGGCTTTTGAATCGGTTATTTGGTAATAACCGATTCAAAACCTTTGGCATTTGAATCGGTTATTACTAAATAACCGATTCAAAAGCCTCTGCCCAGAATTGGTTCCATTTCTGGGAAGAGGCTTTTGCATCGGTTTTACAACCGATGCAAAAAGTAACCTAAGCATTTGCATCGCTGGCTTTTGCATCGGTTCAAATCTGATTTAAAAGGGTCAAAATAACCGATTTAAAAAGTCTTTTTTGTAGTAGTGCTTAAAGCCGTTTTTTTTTAATTTTGTTTTTTTCGGCTTTCCAAAAGCCATTTCAGTGTAATAATGGAGCAACAGGCCAGAGCTACAGTGCCGCACAGTGCCTTCGGTGAGTCCGAGGGTAGCCTTCCCACCTAGCATGGCACAATTCGTCAATGACCCTGCTAACGTGGAGGCGAACCAAGGATTTGGCCAAATTATGGCCATATGCCAGCAGGCTGGGGGAATGCCTTTCCTCCCGGATATGTTTCCCTTTGCGCTACCAGGCGCGGGGAGAATACTCCTTCAGGCTTCCATGGCTTCTACTCCTTTCCAGATATTGTCGCCATAACCATCGTCTTTCCCGCCAAAGGTGGTCAGCACAGTTACCCTGGTCACCCAAACAGGGGTTCTAAATGATGTAGGACTATCACGGCGCCCGCAAAGCATCCCTGACGGCCACTGCATATCAATTGAGAGTGGGGATGAAGAATGGGATATTCCTCGTGCCCACAAAAAGAAGAAGGTCAAGGCCCCAATACCAGCTACCTCTTGGGACTCTATCTTTGACAGGTTAAGGGAAAGGGATGAGTGCCAGCGTAAGTCCGCCAAGCTAAGGTTGGGACACGACACAATTCATGTCAGCGTATTTCCCGGTTAGGCGAGGGAAGGGAGGCCGAGCCTGCCCGTTCCCATCACTCCCGGTGAAATAGGGCCAAACCCCCAAACCACGGGTTTCACACCGTGAGGAGGAAGGTGAAAAAGAGTCACGTGATCTGGTGAGAAGCGGACTGTGGAATCTAGCCAACCAGGTTCAACAGATGGAAGCAAAGCTAGGGATGCTAGATAAGATGGTGGAAGAGAAGAATGATAACGAAAAACGACTACTAGCAAATTCACCCTTCACCGCGAGGGTCCATCGAATGTCTTTTCCCCAAAAGGAAAAGATGGAAAACCCGAAGTTCACAGGCAAGGAGGACCATGAAGTACATCTCAATTCCTCCCATCAACGTGTCACGATGATAGGACGTACCAGTGAAGAAGAATGCCTCCTCTTTTTCCAGTCGCTACATGTGAGAACGACTAAATAGTTTTATAAGCTACCACCGGGAAATATTGAATCTTTTGATGAACTGGCAGACAAATTTAAGGCCAAGTTCCAAGAGAACTGTACAAAAAGGAAGAAGTTCACTTATCTCAGTTCCTCATTATCCACATTCTTATCTTAAGACTTAGAGCCACTACCTACGACCATGACTCAAAGTCTATTCTATGACATCAGAACCACTACCTACGGCCATGATTCTGGTCAACCCGGTACCTACGGTGCTGGTTGGGTGGAACCCCTTGGGAAATTCCTTAGGCGTGCACGAGTGAGGACAAAGTACGCGGGAAAAACTTGTGTTGGTTTGTGGGGCCAGTCTACAATCCTATGAGCGGACACTTACGGCTAGGGTGGGGCCATGGTGTTACAAATGGTATCCCTGGGAAATTCCAAAGTCAAGCGTGCTTGACCTGGAAACTCCAAAGTTAAGCGTGCTTGACCTGAAGTAATTTTAGGATGAGTGACCCCTGGGAAATTCCTTGTGTGCGCACGAGTGAGGACAAAGTGCGTGAGAAAGACTTGTGTTGGCTTGTGGGGCCAGTCTACAATCCTATGAGCGGACACTTACGGCCAAGGTGGGGGCCGGGGTGTTATAGGTGATTTATTTCAGTGTTTGACGAGGATGACAATAAGAAGTAATGTGTAAAGACAAAAAGGGGTAACATGTTTTTTTAAAGGGGTTAGGAAATAAATTTTGATAATGATTATTTCGTTATAAAAACAAATTTATTTTTGCGAATAGGAATTCAAAGTAAATTGTTACTTTTCATAAAGATACTTATTATAAGATTGGTGTGTTAATCCTTTAGATAAAAAAAGTGGTGACTAGGTCAACAAAACATTGAAATTACATAATGAATTTTGATGAATGATTAAAGTGTGGTGAGTAGGTCACTAAAAAAAATATACATAAAAAAATACGTAATGTTGTATTCCAAAAAAATGTAATTGCATGAAGTATACCCTAAGATTAAGTAGCACATTCTTAAAGAAATGTAATTTTGAGTTCCGCTTCAATTATAAATTTAAAAAAAACACACAAACGCTATTGTTAAAAATAAACGATTTCAAACATATTATCAATTAACTATATAAGGATGGGGATCGATATCATACCACCACAAGTAAGATTTTATAAGCGGATAAGAGTGAATCAATCATTACAAAATGCCTAACCAATAGGTTATTACGGCTCTTGGGCCTTGTTCCATCACTTTGTGATATGGTTTGCAGCAAAACTCGCGTACTCGAATTTAACGACTATGCTATCTTAGGTGATGATGTACTCATCACTGATGGTAACGTGCCTAGGACATATCGAGATATCCTTGCGAAACATGGACATATCGACATATCGAGAGTAAGAGTGTAACCTTTAATACCGACTGCATTGAGTTCGTTAAATGATTTTGGGTTAAGAGCTAGTTTTTTATGGGAAAGTTTATGCTCGGATTGATGGTCTTGACGAGACGAGTTCAACGGCGTATTCTGCATGCGAATTCGAGTTATGAAAGTTAAAGATTTGACTGTCCTAAGCCCGAGAAGATTATAAACGAATAAAATAGAAGGATGACGTAGAAATAACATTGTCTAATGAATTTTTGGTCGTTGGGTAGGTCACGTGAAAAAGTTACCAATAACATATAATTTGTCGAGACTAGAATTATGTTTAAAAAGTTATGAGTAAAATAGATGTTAGATTTTAATCATTTTATAATATAACGTTTAATAAAAAAGAGAAATTTTCACCCCCAAATTCAAAACCTTCACGGATTGATACTTTCCAATTTAAAGGCCCAATGAAATTTATAAATACCCACTTTTTGGCAAGCTTCTTCATCGCCCAACACCGTGATAGAATTTTCTCCTTCCGCTTTCTTTTCTTTCTGCCGCAGACAACAAAGTGAGGAGTTCGCAGAGGAAAATTTTGTCGAATTTTTATCGAGTAAGGTTGTATTCTTTGTCGCACCATCTTCTCCTCGTTTCTTCGTTGTTTAAGCTTATTAGGGAGAAACACTAGAGTTTTTGCTGGAAATTCTACATCATTTAAATCGTCAATTTCTTCGTCATACAACGGAGTAGTAAGATGTACCACGATCTGAAAGGAAATTATTGGTGGCCAGTTATGAAGAAAGAGATCTCCAAGTTCAGAGCACGCTGTTTGACTTGCCAGCAAGTTAAAGCCGAGCATCAAGTACCTCTGGGATTGTTATATCCGCCTTCTATTCTTAAGGGGAAATGGGAGCGAATCATGATGGATTTCGTAATCGGCTTACCTCTATCCCCTCGTGAGAATGATGGTGTATGGGTCGTTGCGGATCGTCTTACCAAATCTGCACACTTTCTGCCCGTCCGACGAGATATGTTGCTTCAAAAGTTAGCAGAGTTATATCAACTCGAGATCGTTCGATTGGATGGAATACCTGTATCGATCATCTCCGACGGAGATCCATGTTTCACCTCAAGGTTCTGGAAGGGACTTTAACAAGCCTTGGGTACCAAGTAAAATATGAGCACAACTTTCCACCCTGACTGACAACCAATCTAAGCGAGTGATACAAATACTTGAGAATATGATGAGAGCCTGCGTAATTGACTTTGGAGAAAATTGAGAACGACACTTGCCTGTTTATGGAGTTTTCTTACAACAATAGCTATCAGGCGAGTACTCAAATGGCTCCGTTCGAGGCATTGTACAAGAGGAGGTGCAGGACACATTTGGTTAAATTGAACTAGGTGAGGCGAGACTAGAAGGTCCCAAACTTGATCGTGAGATGAAAGAAAAATTTAAGTTGATCTGTGAGCGTTTGTAGATGGCATCAAATTGATAGAAATCATATACAGACTTGAAGCATCGGGAGATTTCCTTCAAAGTGGAGGATAAAGTTTCTCTGATCACTGCGAAAATTGGACCAATCGCGTATCAATTAGAGCTACCACCTGAACTGAGCAAGATTCATAACGTGTTCCATGTCTCAATGCTCCAACATTACCGATCAGATCTGACCCACCGGTTACCCGAGTGAACGGTCACATTAGACGACAACATGACTTATGAGGAGGAGCCTGTGTAGATCCTAGCACATGAAGTGAAGGAGTTGAGGAATAAGAGGGTGCCTCTAGTCAAAATCTTGTGGCGTAACCATGTTGTTGAAGAAGCTACGTGGGAGACTGAGGAGTCTATGAAGGTTCAGTATCCACACCTTTTCAGTGACAATGATTCAGGTAATTTCGAGGACGAAATTTTTTTAAGATGGAGAGAAATGTAACGCCCCAAAACCCGACTTAGTATTTAAATTAATTTATAAAATTAAATTATTGTTGAGCCGGTAAATACAAAGATTATTCTCTAATTTGCCTTAATGAATGAGGGTTTTATCCTATGTTGTAGAGTTCGTTGTTCAGAACCCGACTGCGCAAACAGATCATGAATCAGACTTATTGAGCCCAAAATACGAATGACGAATAAGGTAATTGGGCTTAAATTTACTAACTGGTGAGAAACTGAAAATTGGACCCTAAAAACTATTTAATTATATATATAATGCGTTAGGGAGATGCACGGATGGGATGACTCTTTCTTTTCCTAATTTTTGTCGTGTCTTCTTCTTGGCTGTTTGATTGTCCTCTTTGGTTCACAACAGCGCCAGTCGTCTACCTCCGTCCTAGGGAAGCAGCGCTGACCGGAGACGCCGCTGGGTGTGCCGCCGACCTCCGTCCTCCCTCTCCCTCTCACGATAGTCGCGCAGCAACACTGGCCGACGGTGGTAGGAAAGCAGCAACAACTCCCCTCCTTCAATCAAGGCTCGAATTTGTCGATTTTTGAGGTGAATCGTTGTCCTATACCTATAGTTAGCGTTAGTTCGTAGATTAAGATCTAATATGTATGAATTCTGCAATTGATTATTGAATTAGGTACATTGATTGTGGGATTGATTGTTGACCATGCCTGTCTTGGTAATTCTGGCCGGAATTCGGCATGCCGCCGGTTTGTGGCTGGCAGGGAGGGTGGTAGCCATTGTTAGGCTTCGGGCATACCCAATTGGATCTAATTGGGTCAAATTGGATTCAATTGGGTGAATTGGGTTTTGAATTGGGTAATTTGGGAAGTAATCGGGTTAGGTTGGATCCTATTGGGAATAATTGGGTCTGTTTTGGGTTACCAGATGATTTGTTGGGCGTTTGGGCTCAATTTGGGCCAGTTGGGCCGGCTGCCCGGGTTGGCAGCAAGGGTTTCCGGGCGGTGGGCAGCCGCCTGATGGGCTTGGATTGGCGGTTTGGGTTGTCAGGTTGGTCCGGTGGGTTGCCAAGCTGATCCAGCGGTGAATCGTACTCATCCGGCGGGGCAGCGGGCCCAGGGATCAATTTCTTGGTCTCGATTCTGCGCAAGTAAGTGGGATTAATTGTTTTTTGGGTTTGTTGATTATGCATGACGGTAATCGTGGGTCTTTGGCCCGAATAGGCCGCTACGTGATTTGTTGTGAATTGTGAACTGAGATTTAAATGAAACTGATCTTATTGGTGAATATTGTGGATTATGTGTAACACCCCAACCCGCATGACCCAAACCCGTGAGACAGCGGACCGGTGTGCTACTGAATTGGTATCCGAATTTGCGACATTTTCAAAACAATTTTAAACAAACATTCTTTCAATACATATGAAAATCCATCGGAGTAATTTAAAATAATGCGGAAGCCTTTTTAAAGTCAAACAACTTGGGATCTTGCCCGAAAACGTAATAAGCATTAAAGTTAATTAAATAAAGCATAATCAACAGATTAAAGAGACAGCCACGCCATCGTACATCTCCTCCTCAATGCCCTCTGGGATCGGCTCTAGGTTCATCTGTCTGATCACCTACGGACAGCAAAAGAAAACAACGCTATCCGCTCAGCATTGACGCTGAGTGGTACTCCATTGTAGCACAAGAATAAACATAATAATTCAACAATTAAGATCGTGCATATGTTTATCCTTTTAATAAAAATCAATTCAACTTTACATTCGGTTCTTTAGACGGTTGACCAACAGTCAACTTATTTTCTTTCTTTTCAAAACGATTTAGGTGTTACGGGTTTCCCATGACTCTTTGACCACCGGTCAAACCAATTTAGACTTTCACCAAAGTCAAACCACTTAACATTTATTTCCTATGATGGAGATAGCCTCAATCTGTAATACCGAAGATGGCCTCAATTCGGTGGAGGTAGGATCCCTCGGGCGATGGCCTCAAACCCAAGATCGCAGACCCTCGTGCGCACNATTAGAATTAATTAATTAACTTAACTAATTCATTAAAGTCTTGGATTTAACCATTCGGTTAAACCTACGACAACAGAATATCCAGTCAAAGTCCAAGTCAAACAGGACCTAACCCAAGTCAAAGTCAAACCTGTTCAGTCAATTCACAATCCTCAACAATTCAATTCAAACAATCAATTTAATTCAATTAACCAATTTAGCCAAATTATAGCATAAACACATATAACGATCCAAACCATTAAATCTATTCTGAATGCTATTAACTTCATAGTACGGACCTGGATTACGCCGAAATCGAATCGATAGCTCGAACGGAAGACAAATCAACGAAATCAACCGAACGGGTCAAATCGAGTCAAAATACGAAATTGACCAATCAATCCGGCGTAGGGGTTAATCTGCCGGCGATATCAACTCGGGGCAGCGGCCGGATGCGGCGACGGTGACTGACGCCGGCGACAGTGGTGGAGCGGCAGTTCGACGGCGATGAGCAGCGACTGGCGGCGCTGCAATCGACGGCGGGGAAGGACGCCAGCAGTGGAGGCGACGTCCGGCAGAACGACAAGGTGAACCGTCGTCGGGGGCGCTGGGCAGCGACGGCGATTATGGTGGTCGCCGGTAGGGGAGGCGACAGACTTCCGGCGAAGCAGCGGCGTCCGGCGTTTGGCGACGTCCTCCGTTTGGCGTGGCGGCGCTGCACCCGTCGGCGGTGAGCGACGGCGGCTGGAGGCGAAGGAGGCAGCGGCTGGCTTCCGGCGACGGGCGACGACGGTCTGGCTTGCGCGACCGGCTGGGCGGCGATGATTGGCTGGGCGGCGGCTTCCGACGGCGAGGTTGGCCGGGAAAGACGAAGAAGAAAGAAGAAGAAGGAGAAGAAGAAGGAGAAGAAGAAGGAAGAAGAAGAAGGAGAAGGAAGAAGAAAAAGGAACGGACGGAAAAGAAGGATAAGGTTTGTGTGGTAGATAATAGGTTTAGGTTTATTTAATGGTCCCATTCCAAAAAGGATTGGGCTTCGGACCCAAAATACCTAATTAAATGGTCATAACTTGAGTTCCATAACTCCGATTCGCGAACCGTCTGAACCGACGCGATCACAAAAATATTTCCTACGAGATGACATAAAAGTTGGGCTTAAAATCCAAATTATAATTTTAACCCCTTATTGGGCCCAATTCGTAATCAATTGCTCTAACAATTTAATTAATTCTTTCGGGCCAGGTTTCGGGGCGTTACATTATGAATAATATATGAGAAATAGGCCACCTAGTATAATTAGGCGGGCCTGAAATGGATTGACTGATTGAATCACCAATAGGATGTGGTTAGGAAATTGGCTATTGCGGGGCGTCGTCGCACCCCCAGTGGTCTTGGGTTAAAAACGTATGTACGGAAGTCCGCGACCTTTCTTGGCATCGTTGGGACAGGGGCTTCAACCTTCCCAAAGTGAATCTCCTTTGGGTTTCTGAGTTGGCCCTTTTATAGCATCGCTTGGGGTGCCTTGACTCAAAGTTAGTTGATGTGAAATAAAATAACGACATGATGTTCAAATGCAAGGTGTTGATATAAGTATGTTTATTTAAGCTATTTTCCTCCATGATCACATATTGTTGTTAATTGTATATTAATGTGGTGTTATGCTGGTAGTTAATGCTGGCTTAGGTATATTTTCACTCACTGTTTCGCTGAGCGTGTAGTCGTTGTTGTTTGACTGCACGCAGGTAGGAACACATATTTGGATGGGCAACCCGGAGGGCAGTGAAGTGGTGGTGTGGCGTGGATGGCTCCTGTTTACTTTAACGATTAAACTACATTATTTTATTTGATTATATGGATTGTTGGATATTATTTAGATTTTTTTATGCTTCCACGATGTTTGGACTTGTTTTGTTACTCCGATGAATTTTGGTTTAGCTTAAAACTTGTTAGATGAATTTTTACAATTTATTTAATCGTTTAATTTTGAAAAAAATTATGCATGCGAATACCAACTTAGTAACAACCCAGTTCGCTAATCCGTTGGTTAGGGTTACGCGGGTCGAGGCATTACAAAATTCTTTTCTTATCATTTACATGAGAGGGATAACGAAAGTTCATTAATATTGCGATCACGGAAAGTATTTCAAGAGTTCTGTGTTGATGGTTATACAATGGTTGAGTCATCTAATTTGACGTACATCAGCACGCACCGGAAAAAATTACGTTGTGAGATGTACAATAGATTTTCTGGTTGGTGCAAGGTGACAACGTTACGTCTACTAAGGGGAAAAGAATTATTGTACCCCCTACGTTGTTGGCGGTGCCCGTTACATGATTCAAAACTATCAAGATGTTATGGAAATATGGCGTTGGACTGGCTATCCAGATCTGTTTCTAATGTTCACTTGCAATCCAAAATGGCCAGAGATTGAGCGTTTCTTGCGAGGAAGAGAATTAAATGCTGAAGATCGCCTAGATATTGTTTCTAGGGTGTTTAACATGAAACTCAATGGTTTAATATGAGATTTAAAGAAGAATAAGATTTTTAGAAGAGTTAGATGTATTATCTGCTTTATATTAAATGTAATATATTCTAATTACAGTTGTGTATACTATCGAGTTTCAAAAGTGTGGACTACCGCATGCTCACATCTTATTGTTTTTGGTTCTAGAAGATAAATTCCCCACTCCTAATGATATTGATGAAATCATATCTACGGAGTTGCGTGCTAAATTGAATGATTCAACATACTTCAAGGCTGTTCAAGATTTTATGATTCACGGACCGTGTGGCTCGAATTCACCAAACTCACCTTGCATGAAGGATGGCAAGTGCTCTATATATTTTCCAAAGGAATTCAATGAGGAAACAAATATTGATGAGGATGGTTTCCCCAAATATCGGAGAAAAAATAATGGCCGAACAATAATGAGGAACAATGTTAAGTTGGATAATAGGTTCGTAGTCCCACACAATAGATATCTGTTAATGAAGTACGAGGCTCACCTAAATGTTGAATGGTGCAATCAATCACGTTCCATCAAATATTTGTTCAAGTACATCAACAAAGGCCACGACCGTGTCACCGCAGGATTTTATGCTAGCACATAGAGCAGAGATAAAGAAACAACTGAAACTCCTAATGAGATTAAAATATACTATGATTGCAGATATATCTCTTCTTGGGAGGCAACATGGCGAATATTTGAATTTGCAATACAGTATAAATGTCCTAATGTGGAACGTTTAAGCTTTCACCTTCCTGATGAGCAATGAATTTTCTTTGAAGATGATGATGACGAAGGTGATGTTTATACCCGAGAAAACATACGAGAGAGTAAATTCCTTGCCTGGATGAAAGCAAATGAAAAATATCTTATTGCAAAGACTCTAACGTATGCCGAATTCCCGCAAAAATTCATTTAGAAGCAAGCTAAAAGAGAGCGAGTATGAACCTCGACAAAGAGGGTTTGCTATTGGATGTGTTGTGTACGTCCCACCAGGCTCTGGTGAGTCTTATTATAAGAGAATTCTTCTAAACATTGTTCGAGGTCCCACTTCGTACGAAGATTTGAGAACTGTCAATGGTGTGAATGTGTTATTCACAACACCTATCGTGATGCATGTTATGCTTTGGGATTACTCGACGATAACAGGGAGTACATCGATGCTTTTAAGGAAGCAAGTTCTTGGTGTTCAGCCAAACAGCTGAGATTCTTATTTGTTACACTCCTAACAAACGAATCAATGTCTAGGCCGAAACATGTCTCGGAACAATGTTGGGAATTCATGGCTGATGACATTCTACATCGTCAAATATGTCTTCTAAGTCATCAAGGTATTATAGAACTAATATTATTGGTATTTTAAACGATAATCTCTTTATCTAACTTTGGTCATATTTTCCTTAGGTTAAGTCTTAACTGAAGATCATATAAAAAATTATGCCTTGATCGAAATTGAGATGTTACTTAGGATGTGAGGTAAGACTCTTCGAGATTTCATTGGCATGCCTTTCCCATTCTAAACGCAGCTTCAACAACTCGCAACAGATTAATTCTTGATGAATTACAATATGATCGACATGCATTGAAAGAGGAACATCAAAAGATGATGGGATAGTTGAATGACGAACAATGTCACGCTTATGAAACTATAATGACGTCAGTCGATTCTGGTCAGGGGAAGATTTTTTTCATTTATGGTTATGGTGGTACTGGAAAGACTTTTGTCTAGACAACTTTGTCTGCTCCATACGTTCAAGAGGAGATATTGTGTTAAATGTTGCTTCGAGTGGTATTGCCTCATTATTGTTACCTCGGGGAAGAACTGCTCATTCCCGCTTTGGAATTCCCATTAATCCCCATGAAAATTCCACATGTAACATTAAACAAAAAACACCTCTTGCAGATTTATTGGTTATGAGCAAGCTTATAATATGGGACGAAGCTCCAATCCCATAAATACTATTTCGAAGCCGTGGACCGAACTCTACGTGATGTAATGAGTGTAGTTTGTCCATCAAATTCAAATCTTCCATTTGGAGGAAAGACAATTGTGTTTGGAGGAGATTTTCGACAAATTATAATCGTCATACCTAAAGGATGAAGGCAAGACGTCGTCAATGCTACGATTAACTCTTCTTATTTTTGGAAATATTGCACGGTCTTACGCTTGACAACTAACATGCCTTTACAACACATGTCTCACGATGACAATTTTAAGAGCATGAGAGAATTTGCATAGTGGATTGCGAGTATCAGTGATGATTTTACCGGGCGAGAAAACGATAGAGTTGGCGAGGTAATTATCCCAAAAAATATGTTGTTAAAAACTATAGATGATCCAATTGCATCTATAGTAAAAGCAACTTATCCAGACTTCCACAATATTGCAAATGATCCAACATATTTGCAAAGTCGAGCAACCTTGGCACCAACACTAGAAGTCGTGGATGAAATAAATGAATACATGACATCATTAAACAACGTCCGAGAAGCAAAAACTTACTTGAGTTCTGATGCAGTGTGTAAATCTGATTCAAACGTGGACTTCTTGACGGACATGCATTATCCTGAATTTCTGAATAGCATACGAGCTTCTGGTGTGCCAAACCATAAGTTGAAGTTTAAGATCGGAACACCAATCATGTTATTGAGGAATATTGAATAATCTTCAGGTTTGTGCAATGGGACAAGGTTGATTGTTACTCGACTGGGCAATCATCTTATTCAAGCTACGGTGCTTACGGGGAAAAATATTGGACAAGAAGTTGTTATCCCACGGTTGTTGCTCACACCGTTAGATACTAGGATTCCTTTTAAGTTTCAAAGGAAACAATTCCCAATTATGATTTCATATGCAATGACAATT